GGGGGGGGGGGGGGGGGGGGGGGGGGGGGGGGGGGGGGGGGGGGGGGGGGGGGGGGGGGGGGGGGGGGGGGGGGGGGGGGGGGGGGGGGGGGGGGGGAGAAGAGGCAGTGTGATAGGGCACCATCACCAGCCATGCCCTCTGTCCCCCAAGAGGGGCAGCTCTGCAGGTGATGATGTCACTGGGGCCAGATCCCAGTGCTGGTGCAATGCAGAACTGCCCAGTCCTGGGGACCCGGACGTTACAGAGACTGGCTGGGTCTCTGGACAAGTTGCTTCTCTTTCCGGGACTTCCATTTTCTCACCTGTAAATGAGAGCACAGTCAGATTAGACCACCTCGGATGCCTCTCAGTTCTGATGTTCGTGACTTGAGTATTCCAGGCTCCGGGGGTGAGACTGCCTGCAACATTGTCCATGACAACAGTCCCTGTTGTGGAGTGCCATGGAAGGGGCATGGTCCCCTGGGGCTGATTGAGTGCTGGGGACTTCTGACTTGGAGTCATAAAAGCTGTGACCCAGGGGCCATTGGGTCTTTTCAGGGCCGACCAGGATGGCACATCGAGTGCTCCGCCATGGCGGGCACCTTGCTGGGTGCCTCGATGGACATTCACGGAGGGCATGGTCCCCTGGGGCTGATTGAGTGCTGGGGACTTCTGACTTGGAGTCATAAAAGCTGGTCAACCAGGGGCCATTGGGTCTTTTCAGGGCCGACCAGGATGGCACATCGAGTGCTCCGCCATGGCGGGCACCTTGCTGGGCGCCTCGATGGACATTCACGGGGGAGGGTTTGACCTCCGCTTCCCCCACCATGACAACGAGCTGGCACAGTCAGAGGTAGGCAGCAGCGGTGGTCGCCTTCTCAGACAGGAGAGTGTGGCGTTCTTACCACAACACAGAGAAGGTCAGTGAGGGGCCCCTCAGGGAGGCCCTTCCTTCATGGGACCTGACATCTGCCTCAGGGTCTTTCAGTGGAACTCAAACCCTAATCATTTAGTCCAGTCTTCCACTAACAACCTGGTCCTCAGCAACAGACATACCTAGAGTCAAGCCAGTCGTATTAGCTGCTGGCTCATAGACCTGGGGCACTCCCTCTGAGCCCCAGTTGCCCCATCTAGAAAATGCAGCACCTACCCCACTGGTGGGACAAATGAGTGAGACGACAGTGTGTGCAGTGACCGGCACTGTGACGCTGGCACCTCCCAGGCTCACTGGCACCCCTGTGATTCCAGCACCTCCCAGGCTGGCAGACGCCCCCGTAACACCAGCACTTCCCAGGCAGGCAGGGGCCCCTCATAATACATGGCTGTTGCCATCCTTCCTGTCTCTTGCCATGCAGGCCTACTTTGAAAATGACTGCTGGGTCAGGTACTTCCTTCACACAGGTCACCTGACGATTGCAGGCTGCAAGATGTCAAAATCACTAAAAAACTTCATCACCATTAAAGACGCCTTGAAAAAGCACTCAGGTAAATATTTACCCACACACGTGTCCTCATGGACACACCTGAACCATAGCCACTCAGAGTGAAGGTGACAGTGTCCTGTGTTCTCCCGCAGCACGGCAGCTGAGGCTGGCCTTCCTCATGCACTCTTGGAAGGACACGCTGGACTACTCAAGCAATACCATGGAGTCAGCGCTTCAGTATGAGAAGTTCATGAACGTGAGTCCCCAGTGCCTCTCCAGAGGTTGGTGGAGCAGCCACCCTAACACCATGGGTGCCTGTGGTCAGCTGTGGGGGCGCATCCTAGCGGTTGCATCCTAGCAGGAGATGCGTTCAGTGGCACACGTCTGTGATGCCCGATGGCACGGTAGCATGAGGGACCTCACTCTTGCTCATGTGTGCTACATGTCACTCTGATTGTACTTTCTGCTGCATGAGTATCTCTAAGGATAAGATAGGAACGCACTTCTTTCTTAAAGGAAAACCTTTCACCTCCTTTCTGACCACTTGTGTCCTGTCAGTGCATTGCGGTATTTTAGATTTTACCTAAAATCCCGTAAGTAGAACAAGTTCATCAGATATTTCTGGATGGAAAAGTTGCCTAAATACTACTAAACTGAATTTTCTGACTTTAGGAGTTTTTCTTAAATGTGAAAGACCTCCTTCGAGCGCCCGTCGATATCACTGGTCAGTTTGAGAAGTGGGAAGACGGAGAAGCTGAGCTCAACAAGAGGTAAGGTGGGGCTGCTTCTCTGGGCTTGTGAGCGTGCCCAGGTGCCGTGCCCAGCTGTATGTCTTGCCTGCCCACCGCCTGTGCCCTGCACACACTGTGCAGAGCTCACTCAGAACAGGCCACACCTGCTAACAGGAACATTCTGGCAGTCGGACTTCATGGAGAATTTCTGTAGTGCGTTAGGGGGTCTGGCTTGTTTACATTCCTTTCTCTCTGTTGCTCAGCTTTTATGACAAGAAGGCAGCGATCCATGAAGCCCTCTGTGATAACGTCGACACCCGCACTGTCATGGAGGAAATGCGGGCCTTGGTCAGTCAGTGCAACCTCTACATGGCAGCCCGCAAGGCCACAAGGAGGAGGCCCAACCAGGCCCTGCTGAAGAACGTGGCACTGTATCTCACCCACATGCTGAAGGTGAGCCAGGGCCCAGACAGGCACAGTCCTCTGCTTGTGTGGATGCAGGTGACAGACCACTGTCAAAACAGGGCTCTGGGTGGCGCTTACCTGCTGCACAGTGCCCAGCAGCCTCCTAGAGCCGAGATGCACTCTGTCCTCTTCCTCCGTCCCTGCTCTATTCTCTTCATTAGAGAGAAAACCCATGTTGCTATTCCTTACTCTGAGCTCTTTTCTTTGTCTTAGTTTTTCTCTACTCCTAGCTTGACGTTTGAAAAGCAAAACTAATGATAAGGCGTTAACTGAACCCGTCTGTGCAGAATTGTTTCTTGTACAGTACCACCAGGCCATAAAGCGAGCTCTCTTGAGGCCAGTGGGACTTCAGAGTGACTGGTCTGCCTCCCGCTTCTGGTCTCTGTTGTTAGGCTCCAGTGGCTTCAGGCTGAAAGGGGTCCAGGGAGGGTAGCTCTGGGCCAGGCTGGTCCTAGGGCAGGTGAGTGCGCCCTCAGGCTTGTGTTTCTAGGGCTCTTGGAGCTGCTCTTTCTGTCCCTTTCCTGGTCCCAGGGACCACCCAGGAGGGCTGTTCTCAACCTGCCCCTCCCATAGACGTGAGAGCAATGCCATGGACCTGCTCACCATGTGGGCCGTCTCAGGACCTCTTCATCTGGCACACGGTTCAAGTCCCATCTGTTTCTTTTCCTAGATCTTTGGGGCCATAGAAGAGGAAAGCTCCCTAGGTTTCCCAGTCGGAGGGCCTGGAACCAGCCTAAACGTGAGTAGAGCATGCCTGGGCCCAAAGAATCTCCCTCTGGGGCCTTGGGTCAGCTGCTGCCGCCCTCTGACCTTGCAGGGTGTGCCTGCCTTGAGGTCACCCACTCCACTGTGCCTACTGTGAGGGGCGCCTTCCTGCCTCTACACCTGCTCCCTCCCTGCCCCTTGTTCCTCTGGAGCCCCCAGGAGTCTTTCCAATCCTCTTTCAACCCTCTGGACACACAGAGACCAGTACTGGGTCCCACCCACACCAGACCCTTCCAGGCCCAGCCTTCAGGTGCAGTTTCAGATCTGGCTCTGAGTATTGAGAGTGGTCAGTTGCCCCTCCAGGTGTGGAAGGCCAGCTTCGGTCCTGATGGCCTTTGTCACTGACTTAGTTGAGGGGTCCTTGGCTGTCATCTGAGCTTAACCTCGGGACACCGACTAGCCCTGGACCACGCCACAGCCATGTGGTGTCATGAGCTCCCATTCTCAGATCTCATCATGTGGAAGGCCATGAGCACAGACTGCACAGAGCTTATGCCGGCTGGGGTGAACCGTCCACCCTCTGCCTCTGCCTCCATGGGACTGTGCAGAAACCCATGCCAGATGAAGTCCAGTCCCAACCTGAGGTCTGTCCATACCTCCCATGCCAGAGCCCCTGCTCCCACAGCTGCTGACTGGAAGTCAGGTGGTTGTTAAGTAGGGCCCTCTATCCAAAGGATGTATGGTGTAGGAACGTCCATCCAGAGCAGGCTCCGGCTCTCCTCTGCTGGCAGGTCTCTCTGTTGGCAGGTGGCATGTGGGCAGACACACGTTCTCAGCTACGTTCCCCTGCTAGTAACGGCCATCCCATCTGACAAGCACACTTTCAGGCTTGTTTAACACATACTTCCACTCTCCAGCTCGGGCAAGAATGCTCTTTAGTTATTTGACTGGAATGCATATAAATATTTAAACACGACAGCTGTTATTTTAATGAAAATGAGCTTGATATAAAATAAAAAGGCAAAGCCTTTTTAAAGTCCTGTTTCCTACTGGTGAGCAGTGTAAAGAGGCCTCTCCTGCACATGACATTTGCAGATGTCCCCCAAGAGTCAACTTGCAAAGAGCAAACAGTTTGTTGTGGGACGTCCTACCAGGGCTCCTTGCCCACGTGCCAGGCCTTTTGTTAGCACTTGAACTAGTTACTGGGTGCAGTATTTTTTAGACTGCCATATGTGAACCTTCTTTGGTGCTTTGTAGAAAGAAAACCCACATGGCTCATTTATTCTCTTGTGCAAATGATACTAAGATATCTATTTTCTTTAAAAACAAAAAATGAGAACATACCTTCTAGGTTAAAGTCAGTCTGCCTTTGAACTTAAAAAACGTTTTTAATCTTAAATGCCACTGCAGTCGTGGGGGGCACCTTCAGATGTGCTATAGACATGCACCCCAGGTGGCCTCTTTAGGCCTTTGGAGTCAGCTAATTAGAAATAACTGGCCACGAGTGAATTCTGCAAGCCTACTAGGCCAAACTTCATGAGACCCACAATTCACAGCCATTTGGGGTTTGTGGATTAACTTCCAAATCCACATTGTTTTAGGAGCCTCAGAAGAGGCAGTTCGTAAGTGTTGAACCACCTCAGTACTGACCACTCGGCCATGCACTCAGTGTGGTCAGCTGGACCTCTGGGAGTTGCCAGCCCAGGCCTTCATGAGAGGGGTGCCTGCAGTCATCCTGACAGTCCCCTCAGGCACCCTGGGGCTGAGGCTGGCAGCGAGACAGTGCCTCCCTCCCGCTCCCACACCAAGGCTTGTTGGGCTGTGTCACACGTGGGAGGAGATGAAGACCCTGAACCACCTTGGAATCCAGAGCTTCCACTGCCAGGTGCACCCTCAGTCCAGATGCACAACTGGGCTTAATGAAGTTCAGCTTAGACCAAAGACTCGTCATGCCCGCCACCTTTTGCATTTCTTTGTGTCTTTATCATGGTTATCGTGCTGCCAAATAGTGTAAGAGGCCGGGGTCCTTGCTCCTACTTGTTGTCCTGCTGGAAAAACAAGAGAAATGGCATTTGGAAGAATTTTTGTAGACTTAGTCTTCTGTTTGGATTTTGCCTTCATCAGTTTTTCCTTTCCTGCATGGTTTTACATTATGTGGCCTAACCCCCAGTGTTACCATAGGTAGTTATCTTAGTGTAGAAGTCAACGTGCATGTGGATAGTAGCTAGTTAATGGAGAGGCTGTTGCAAATCTCAAGCAAGCACATATATGCCCACAGGTCACAACCAAGCACAGCCTGACTCTGTGGCCGCTGGCCTCAGAGTAGCTAAGGCCCCAGCCTGGGGAGGAACTTCATCAGGCCTGTTAGAAAATAGTACCTCCTAGAGACAGCCCATTTGTAACCATAAAGGTGGGTTTTTTTAGCAACTGCATGTCTGACATGAGAAAAACATGTCATGTCATCCTTTGGATAGAGTACCTGCTCAGCTCGTCCCGCTGGAAGTAGAGGGAAGCTTTATACTCTCTGGCCCATGTCACCTATGCTGACACCCCCAAGCCCATATGCCTTGCACACCTAGAGTGGCCTGCGTGTCAGGGATGAGAGCATCTGAGCTCTGAGGTGCTGGTCACAGTAGCACTGCCCACACTGGGCCCTGTCCTACAGTGTGTCTGCTGAACTGTTATTCATTTGTCAACCTAAGGGGGTGAGTGAGCTCTCAGTGAGCCCAAACCATTCTTTCTGCAGCTCGAGTCCATAGTCATGCCCTACCTGCAGGTGTTGTCGGAATTCAGGGAAGGAGTGCGGAAGATCGCCCGAGAGAAGAAAGGTGAGGAGTGGCTGCTGGGACCGTGGGAGCTACCCTTCCTTGCTGGGCCTCTGGACTCAGGGCTCCACCCCTCAGCATGGGGATGTTGGGGGCTCATTCTCTGTGTGGGCGCTGCCTTGTGCACTGCAGGGTGTTGAGCAGTGTCCCCAGCCTGGGGGGACCCGTACTGGGTCCTGTTAGCACCACATGCCCCATCGTGACAACCACATATGTCCCCTGCAGGATAAATCACTCTGGGGAGAATTTTACTTGACTTAGAACAGCTGGGGGGGGGGGGGCTGAGCCTGTGATGCCACAGGCCAGGGTTTCTTTGCCTCTTATCCTCTGGGTAGCAGCAGAATGGAGGGTGCTCCTTCCTGCCCAGCCTCACACCTGCCCATTGGTTCACTCTGCTGAGTGGCCCACAGGCAGGCACGCCATGGCAGGGCTTGTCGTTGCTGCACAGTTGAACCACGTTGGCAGAGGAGCCTTCACAGGGGAACTGGAGTGCTCAGAGTTCCTGTTCCGCTTGGGGTGTGGTGGGCAAACGCCTTGAACTTGGGGCTCCCGCAGTAGTGTCTCACTGTGCACAGCCATCCCTTCATCCTTTGACGGTCCCGAGGTGTGTGTGGGTTAGGACTTTGAAAATGCTGGATCTGAACGTTTCGTTCTGGGGGCCGATTTTTCACAAGTGCTGAACCCAGCAAGGAGCAGCATCAGGCAGTCGTCTAGCTTCTTCCTCTGAGCAGTCTGAATCGGGGGGTAACAGCACGGCCGCCAACACATCCTGAGGACGTAGGACATGCTGGGCCCTGTCAGCTGCGTTCCTCGTGTTGCCTCCTTCAACCCTCATGATTTTCCAAAAGAGGAAAGCAAAGCCCCAAGAAGTTAGAGACCTCGCCCAGGACCACACCGGGGGCTGTGGTAGAATGACTCCAAAAGCCACCCTGTCACCTGCTGGGCCGTGCCTCCTCCCTGAGGGCCTCCGTGTGGTGTGGGGTTGCACCCAGAGTTCATCTAGCCCCATCCGTGCAGAGTCTGTCATGGGGACCACCGAGGGGTGGTGTCCAGGTGGGGTGCCCAGGGAGTTGGTCAGGTAGGCCTGGTCAGGTGAGGGGGCTGGGAAGGGGCCAGCACAGTGTGAGGCAGGAAGGCAGGAAAAATGCCGAGGCCCCCAAGGAACCTAAGCATGAGCTTCCACAGGTGGGGGCAAAACAGCCTGGCAGTGCCAGGCGGGGAGGCTGCCTCCGTGCTCCGTGGAGAGGGGCTGGCCTAACCGAGCAGTTTAAAACGGAACAGTAGGCCTTTGGTCTGACTGAGGAAGCCCGGTCCCCTTTCCCTAACACCTGACGCCTCAGCGTTTTAAAGCACGTGAACCAAACTGAAGGAGCCTGGCTCGACCCACTTGGGGCCTGTGCGGTTCTCTGACAGTTTTGCCAGCACCAACTCACCACTGTCACTGGGGTCACGGGCTTGGGACAACTGTTCTCAGAGGCAGCCCGGGTGTCTCTCCCTGCCTGTTGGGGAACATCAGAGGCTGAGCCTGGGCTGCAGCCCCCGGAGGTCACAAGGCAGGCTGGGAGGGCTCTGACAGGGACTGGCCAGGCTCGAGCTCCCACAGGGCAGTGCTGACAGGAGGGGCAAGGCCTCGCTCGAGACTTAAGAGCTGCACCAGCTGGCCAGCCGTGGAAGGAGCTCAGCTTTGCTTTTTGTTTGGTCTTTTTTGCTTTGTTTTTGTTGTCTGTTGCTTGAAACAAGTGGACAAGGATGGGTCCCTGTTGGGAAGGTGGTAGTTTCTGCCTTGTGCGGCCACCCTCCACGTATCTCGTGGACATGAGGACATTTCACCTGAGCCACAGACCCTGGGCCTCCGCTGACTTCAGCCGTCCAGGTTGGAAAACCTTCAGGGCTGGAGGCCGTGTGTGAGGTGTGGCTCTGCCCCAACACCCACCCCCACAAACAGCGGCAGCAGCAAATGCAGACCTTTTGTTGGTTACTCACCGTTATCACCTCCTGGCTGTCCATGTGGCCTTGGACTGGCCAAGGAGAGAGAGAGAGAGCAAGGAGCAAGTGCCTCGGTTCAGCCAGTGTCTGCCCGGCCCAGGCCAGGTGTCCCAAAGGAGCCCATGGTCAGCCAACCAGAGAGCCTGCCGGGGAGCCGCAGGGTACAGGTGTTGAACCAGGAGTGGTGTGGGATGTTGGAAGGAAGTTAGAAGGACAGGGACTGTGCAGGGGTCAGCTGGGTGAGCAGGGGCTAGGCCGGGCCATCTGCTGCTGGGGAGGCAGTTGCCGTTTCCCCATCACCTTTTTTTGTTTTCATTGTGGGAAAAAGCACTTAACATAAGCTTTACCATCTTAGCCACTTTTAAGTGCGCGGTTCAGTGGCATTAAGTACATTCATATTGTTGTGCAGCCACCTCCACCATCCGTCTCTAGAACTTTCATCTTGCGAAAGTGAAACTGTCCCCATAAAACACCAAGTCCCCATTCCCTTCCCCCAGCCCTTGGCACCCACCACTCTTCTTTCTGTCTCTGTGGATGTGACGATTCTAGAGAGCTCATATGAGTGGAATCCTATAGTATTTGTCCTTTTGTGACTGGCTTGTTTCACTCAGCATAGTGTCCTCAAGTCTCATCCATGTCATAGTGTGTGTCAGAATTTCCTTCCTCTTTAAGCCTGAGTAATGTTCCACTGTGTGAATGGACCACATCTCATTCATTCATCTGTGGTTGGATTCCCATTGCCTCTTGTGTCATCTCCTTGGTCTGTATTTCTAGTAAGTTCCTCATGGCCCATCCGCTTTCTGCTCCCACTCCCCGTTCCTGCTAACAGAAGCCAGCTCTGATGGGTGTGCCCCGTGCCCAGCACGCCGCGCTGCACTTAGCTGTCAAGGCACGTGCCTGGAGCTCCAGCAGAGAAACTGACTCAGAGGTTAAGAATGTCCAAGCCAGGGCTGGCTGGTTAGCTCAGCTGGTTAGAGCACAGCCTTATAACACCAAAGTCACCAGCTGCCAAAAAAATAGAATGTCTAATCCTGAAGGGACCTTCCAGTTCAGGCGTCAAGGCCACACTGGATAATCTTTGATCCCCACCCACTCTGTTTGCTTGGAGATCACTTCAAAGCCAACAGGCCCCACAGGGCTGTTTCCTCCAGAGCTCACCCAAGCCTTCTACTTGTTCTGGCTGAGCCAGTATCTACCTCCCACAGGGCTGGTGTGAGGCTGGGCCAGCTCCTTGGGATGTCGAGCCAGTGCCAGTTGCAGTGTTGCCAAGGTGATGTGTGTGGCTCCTACTCCCTGGTCTCTGGCCCCTCATATCTTGCGGCCCCCCTGCTGGGCCGGGCTGGGCTGGTGTTTCCCAGTGAGAGACGCTGGCAGCAGCTGTGGGGGTCACCCCAACCTCCAGACTCAGCATCTGTTCCCAGACACCTTCTCTCCAACTGAGTTCTGGCACTCTCAGTGGGCGCTCAGAGACGTGGGGGGTCCTGGCTCTTCCTTGTCACTGAGCTCTAGGACGTATGGAGAGGGCCAGGTGTGCCTGGCTGCAGCATGAGGAGGGTGGGGAGCCCCTCCAGGACTCGGGGGAGGGGGCGGCAGGGTACAGGCCCGGAGCAGGTGTGGACTTGGCTGCGGGACGTGGCTGCTTCTTTCAGAATCTCTGCGCCAGGACAGTAGAGGTGCAGAGGTTCTGGGCTCCTTCCAGAGAGACCAGGGGGCCCCGGCCAGTTTCTGAGCCTCCTTGTTGTTTGGTAAAAACCTATTTCCAGGAAACTAACTTGGCCCCAGACCTGCCTGCCACACCTGGCTCTGACTGGCCCCAACTCTTACCTCCCTAGCATCCCTAGGACCAGTCTGTTGACCACCATCAGAGGGCATCCTACCTCTGGGCACTGTCCAGGTAGTGTGGGAACCGTGGCCCATCCTTGGGGTGAGGGCCCTGGCCCAGAGCTCATCTGGCAGCAGCATTGGTGGTCTCTGGGCTTCTGGCATTGTGCAGTGAGCCAAGTGGCTGGTGCCCTCTCTCCCGAGCACATTCTGTGGGACCCAGGCCTCCTCTGTGTCTAACTGAGCCCCTTTTCTTTGCCAACAGTCCCTGAGGTTCTGCAGCTCAGCGACGCCATGCGGGATGACATCCTACCTGAGCTCGGCGTGCGGTTTGAAGACCGTGAAGGTGGGTGAGCCCCTCACATTGTCAGGATGTGCTGCAAGGAGCTTGCTGAGGCAGGAGGGGCGCTGGGGAGGGGCAGAGTGTCACACAGGGTGGGGCTGGGGCTCCAGCGCTTTTTATGTGTTGATGAAGACACCCAGAGTGGTGTCCCCGCCCTCCACAGCCGCCAGCCCCTCTTGTCCGGTATTGCCACTGGCTGCCTGTTCTTACATTCCCTGGGTTAAGGAAACAAGCCTGTGCCATCTGGACTGTCAGCTCATGTCATGGCTTGTCTTCCGACTTCATGGACTTGTTTTGCTGCCCAGGAAATTATGAATTTTTCGATACTCAGGCAATCTGTCTTACTCTGTGACTGCCGGCTGGAACAGCCTTCCCACCTCGCAATTACAAGTGCTCTCCTGTGTGGTACTTCACTGCTTTTGTGGAGGGCTGGTGTTTTTTGTTTTCAATGTTTACCATTTTGATCCACCTAGAATTAACTGCCCTTGTGAGCAGGAAGGAAGGGGCCCCCGGTGTTTTCCTGTAGGTGGCCCATGGCATGCGGGTGTGGTGGCATGACCTGACGGGCAGCTCGGGGCCCAGCGGCAGACGGTCCACCCCTTGGTCTCACAGACTGTTTGCTTTTCAGGACTGCCAACAGTGGTCAAGTTGGTGGACAGAGATACCTTATTAAAAGAGAGAGAAGAAAAGAAAAGGGTTAGTAAAATAAAACGGCTCGAGCTTGGTATTTATTGAAAATATAAAAACCATTGGGATTTTGTATAGTTTACTTTTTAAAAATTGATGTTTACACTTTTATTAAAATTCTAGTATTTATAAATGTCAGGAAGAAAAATTGACTAGGTAACTACTTGACAATTTGGTTACCAAAAAAGAAAAAATGTATATTCTAATGAAGGACTTCTTTTCAAAAAAATTATTCTCTCTGCTTAAGTGAAAATTAGTCACTTTTAGCAAACTGTGAAGCTGGCATATTTGGTCCCACTGTGCTGAGTGGCCTGTGTGCTGCCCCACTCTCCAGCCCCCCTCCACTCTGTGCCTGGGGCCTTTGCCAGGGGCCCTGAGAGGCTTAAGGAGACCATTGTGGAGAGCAAGTGTAGGCACCACAGCTCTTGGGAAGGGGACTTTGAGAGGGACTCAGAAGGCAGAAGTGACAGATGGGGGTTGGTTGATAGATGGGATGTGTGGGGCCAGGGGAAAGAAGTCCAGAGTGCTGCCTGTGTCCTGGGCTGGCACCACAGGGAGGTCAGGGGCATTGGGGGAGAGCAGATGTGAGGACATGTGGGTTGGCCGAGTTTACAGCACAGGGGAGCACACGGATAAGGAGCTGCCGATTAGGCAGAAGATCAACAAACCAGAACTCTGGGAAAAGCTTCGGACAGTTAGAGAGCAGTGAACGGTCTGCAGATTGGTTGTAGTTGGAAGGTTTGGAGGAGCCGGGGGTCTGCCCCTCACACTCTTCTCAGCCCCTCCCCACTCCCATCACAGCTGCGTACCCAGCCTGTGTCTCATCCCTGGGCTGGGTCCTGAGCCCCAGCACGGCTGGCCATGCCTCTCAGGCCGCCCCAGAGCTGGGCGAGGAAGCAAATACCCCAGCTCCCCCAGCAGCTCTGCCATCTAGGAGTGCTCAGGAGCTGGAAGCCACAGGAAGAGCTCTCTGCAGAGTCTGCACTGCTTCTGTCACTGGCCTTGTGACCTCTCCTGGTTCCAGGGGAATCTCTTCACAAGCAAACACCCAGAGGAGGTCCCCTAGGGCTGTGGTGCTGCAGTGGGGGAGGGGCCACGCCTCATCCTGGAATATTCCTACCAGCACATAAGCCCATCCTGACTTGAGAAGGGAGAAAGCAGAGAGCCTGGGTGCTGTGTCTCTGGCTTCCCCCAGGTTCTGCGCCTGGGTCCCTCCTCCCACTGCAGCCACCTCCTCTGTCAGGCTCTCTGGTGACATCTGTCTGGGCACATCCAGAGGCACCTCCACCTCCCTTGGTCTCTCAGGAGCTCTTCCTCCAACTGGGTCTCTGGGACTGTCGCACCTTCCGTCTTTTCTCCAGCTCTGAATGTGGGGGCACCCCAGACCCTTCCCTCCCCAGTGACCTCATGTAGCCCCCAGGCTTCTCTACCATCTGTCCTGTCTTACTTATGACCCCCAGATTTTCTGTGGCCCCAAAAGTTGCCTAGCCCAGACTCCTGTACCCAGCTGCCTACCTGACAGCTCCGCTTGGCGAGGAAGCAGCTGAAACCCAACATGTCCAAAGGGAGTTTGTGAGTTTCAACTCCCCAAACCTGTTTCTCCTTCCTGTCAGTGGAGGGCATGTCTGTTCACGTAGCTGCTCAAGCCGGGACATCCCACGGCAGCCTCAGCCTCCCTCACTTCCACCGCCAAGTCCAGGGCACCCACCTCTGCTCTCATCTCCTCCAGTCCTGTCTTCTTTCTTTCCTTCCAGTCCCCAAGGCCAGCCCCTGTGCCCTGGCACCTGCTGACCACTGCCCTCTCCCCATCCTGCCACAGGGACCTGTCTCCTTGCCCCAGGATACTCACCCTGGTCACCACCTGCCTGAGCCCCCTCTCCCCAGGCCAGGCTCATCGTCCTGGTGCATTTTGTCCTGTCAGTTGTACCTGGATCTTTTAATGCTGGTTCTGCCCTTTTGTCCACTGCCACACCCAGAGGTGCCCGCTGAGAATGTCCAGCAGGAATGAATGGGGGCCAGTCACAACACGGACTCCCCCGTGTGCTGCCCGAGCCCTACCTCCCAGCACATGGGCTGCTCTCCCCCTTGGCGGGACAGGCCGGGCCACAGGAGGGTGGCGAGGCTGGCCTTGCTGGGCAGTCCTGTCTCATCAGGCCCTGTGCTACTCCCCTAGGTTGAAGAGGAGAAGAGGAAGAAGAAGGAGGAGGCCGCCCGGAAGAAACAGGAACAAGAAGTAACACGCACTTGTCTATTCTAGGGTGGGGCTCTCCTAAGCACAGATTTGAACTTTGACCCCATGCCCCACAGCTGTCTGTGCCTCCTTTGGGCTGGGTCAGGCACCCTAGGGACCCTCACAAAAGGGGCTCTGCCCTCCACTCCATCCACCTGGGGCCCCTCGGCGAGGGAGACCATGCCCTTTGACTGGGTACAAGCTCCAAGTCAGCTTTTACAGGCTTACTGTTAAGACTGTTTTTAGCAACCTTCCCCTGTTCCTGTAGAAAAGATGTCTGGTTTAACTTCAAATTGCCCTCCTTTAGACTCCCCTCAGCCTGGCTTTCTCCTTCCCTGGCTTTTATAACTCCCTGAATTTGAGGGCTCAGAAGCAATTTGGGGGCTGGAGGTGGGAGCAGACATCGTGGTGATGGAGGTGAAGCCCCCTTGTGCTGCTCGATTGGGGGCCATGACCGTGTGTCTCGTGTGCTGTGTTCCAGGCAGCAAAGCTGGCCAAGATGAAGATTCCACCCAGTGAGATGTTCTTGTCAGAAAGTGACAAATATTCCAAGTTTGATGAAAACGTAAGAATGCTCTTCTTTCTAGAACTTTACTAGACCACATTAAATTGGGATGGCAGGAATGTTCTGCCTTGGACAAGCAGATTTTCTGTTTGGAGTAAAACTTGAAGGAAGGTTAAAATCATCCTCTTAGGGTCCAGGGCCTCCTGCCTGTCATGTGAGCTCCTCCCACATACCCGTGCAGCTGGGCAGGTCCATGCCAGGGCTGCCTCCACCATTGTCAGGGCAAGCTCAGTCTCTGGCACCGGGAGTCATGGCGTGGGCTGAGATTAGAATGACCGAAAATGGGATCTGCGGGTTCTGCAAGGAGCCTCACAGGCTAGCTGACGTGCCATGGCACAGATGTGTCCTCTGCTCCCTGGGGCCCTCTGTTATGGCCATTCCCAGTGACTGCCTCCAGACTGCTCTTTAGGCCTCTCCCTGCTGGTTCTTGTATATATTTGGTACATACCTTTGAGCCAGCTGTGTCGGAACCAAGCCGTGTGCTGGGCGTCTTATAACTAACAGTCATTTATTGTATGTTCTCAAGTGGTTAGAAGAAAGGAGCTCATATGTTCTCATCACAAAGAAACAGTAAATTTTTGTGATGATGAATTTGCTAACTACCCTGATTTGATCACTACATGTTGTATACATGCATTGAAATATAACTCTGTAACCCATATATATGTACAATCTATACATTTCAATTAAAAATAAATAATTTTTAAAAAGCTAGAAAAAGGAGAAAGAACTGAGCCCTGATGGGAAGGGAGCATTGCCCCTCACCCCAGTGGGAGGCACCCCCAGACGCTGGTCACTTCCCATCCGTTATTAGCTGCTAGCTAATAGCTGCTAGCTTCCTAGTGAAAGGACATGGCCATGTCAGGGGGATGAGCACGTTGAGACCAAGGGGTGAGGAAAGGAAAGTCAGGGCCCTCGGTTACCGTGGCAGGGAGGACGACAGCCGTCTATGCTCTTGCTCTTGCTCTTGCTCCTTTAGGGTCTTCCAACCCATGACGCAGAGGGCAAAGAACTGAGCAAAGGACAAGCCAAGAAGCTGAAGAAGCTCTTCGAAGCTCAAGAAAAGCTCCACGAGGAATATGTGCAGATGGTTCAAAACGGGAGTGCCCCGTGATGAGCACAGACCTACCCTCCAGAACTGAGCCGTCGTGGTCTGCTGCCTTCTCCCTACCTGGTGACAGCGCCCGATGCTCCCATCTTGTTTACAGTTGTCCTCGGGTCCTAAATTAAGATGTGTTTGTATAGGGTCATGTCATCGTCACTCTGAGACTTAATAATAAATTCTTCTAAACAGCGAGACCCTTGCTGCCCTCTCTGCCTCCCACTGCACGCTCAGCACTTGGCGGTGGCCCAGAGGCTGGCCTGAGCTGCGCGGTCAGCAGGTCACGGCTTAGGAGTCTGGTCAGTTGAGCCGCTTCAGCCAGCTGAGGAATTTCTCCCCTGTGCTGATGGCTATCAGCTAATCTCTGGGGCGTGGGCGCATTTGGAGGTATTTGAGTAGGAAAAAGACAGGCTCAGACTGACAGAACCCACTGAGCTCCAGACAAAGGCTGTGCAGTCTGCCCTCTGGTTCTGATGAATAGACACACCACGGGTTTCCTAGACCAGTTCCACGTGGGGCAGCAGCAGAATGGGCAGCTCAGCGGGGCAGGTCTGGCCAACTGCCCAGGACTGCCGTCGCGATGAGTCCAGGATCCTCATGGCTGATGGTTGTGAAAGGGGGATAAGGGGGTCTTGACAAGCAAGAGGGCCGTTGTTCACCAGGTCCCAGCATCAGGGAGTGTGTCCTCACCACCCTGCTCAGGCACTTGTGATACTTGGGCTAAGAGTCACCCCCACACTTGAGCGTCCTTAACCATCCTTGACTGCGGAGGCTGAGGCAGAGGCCAGACCTGCTTCATGCCTGCAGAAGCCGGCACCAAGCTGGATCCATCAGGGCAAAAGACAGCCATCGGTGCTGGGAACAGCCAGGTCGAGAAACACCACCCAGCTCTCGGACGTCGATGGGCCACGCCCCCAGCACGGGGAATGTGGCAGTGTTTAAATGTAGACACATGGACCCTTCATCCCCACAGTCCTGCTGTAGGATGCTGTCCTGAAAGTGCACTAAGAATGGAATGCTGTGTGTGCTGTTGGCTGCAGCTGCACGTGGCGCAGCACAAGGCTGGAGGCAGCCCGCCTGTCCATCAGCGGGTGCTTGGCACAACTCTGGAGCACCCCCTCGACGTGGGGAGCACAGTCCCTAAGTATTGCTGTGTCTGACTTTTGAACTTTGTCAGTGTTTCCCATGCCAAAAAAAATTAAACTAGTAGGAAAAAAAGTTACCAGGGGCCGGCCTGGTGGCGCACTGCTATAGTGCGCCGCTTGCGAGCGCGGTGGCGCTCCCACCAAGGGTTCGGATCCCACATACAGATCGGTTCCCGCTCACTGGCTGAGCGAGGTGCGGGGGCAACACCGAGGGTTGCGATTCCGTTGCCAGTCACGAAAAAAGACAAAAAAAGGAAAAAAGAAAGAAAAAAAGTTACCAAAACAAAGCAAACCATACATGTTCCAATTATCTGTTGCTACATAAATCACCCCAAAACTATGTGGCTGAAAAAAACGATCATATTATTATTGACTCTCGTAGTCCTGGGTGACCGGACTCAGCTGGACAGTTCTAGCTCAGGGGCTCTCGCACGGCTTCACTCAGACGGAGTTATCTGAAGGTTTGTGCCTGGGGCTGGGGTGCTTAGGCACCTCTCACCTCTGTGTGGTCTCTCCAGCTTGGTGGCTTCAGGGTGGCTGCATTTCTGATGTGCCAGCTATAGTTCCAAAAGTATGTATCCTGCAAGAGAGGAGCTGCATGGCCTTTCGGTGTCTAACCTCGCAAGTCCTGTCGTGACTTCCACCATACCCCGCAGTGGAGGGCAACACCAGGGCCCACCCACATCCAAGGGCTGGGGGCACAGACAGGTTCCTGGAGAGTCTGGGGACAGGAAGCACCATCTGCCATAAAACTGTAAACCAAATTGGCAGCCTGAGAGAAAAGGATTTCAACTGACCAGAGAATTCACCCCTTTCGCTGCACATCTTTAAGTGGGGTATCGTGTGTGGCCGAAAAAAGTACAGAGGAATCAAACAATTCGATAGTTTTGTTGTTGGTGATATTGGCATTGTTACTCTCAAACTATATTCTGAGACAAACCAAATAAGAATATCAATGTCAGCAAGGAACCCTTTAATGTAAGAGAAAAAAATACAAATATAAAAATCAGGGCTGGCCAGTTCCCAGTTGGTTAGAGCACGGTGTGAAGGGTTCAGATCCCCCTACTGGCCAGCACCAAAAAAAAAAAAAAAAAAAAATCAAAGAAGTTAGGAAAATCACTGTATTGCTGAATGTAAATTGGAAAAAACAAAGTGAACTAACTCACAGTTTTAAGAAGTAGATTATTTCCTGGCTGTGTAGAGGGGATGGGTGGCGAAGCAAAACAACCCTGGCACAGTGGGTGCTCAAGCCCAGAGTGCAGTTCTAAAGCCACCCCTGCTGGAGAAACGGCCAGCTCCAGGTCTGCAGCAGCAGGAGACGCCCAAAAAGGGATGCTTTTGAAGACAAGTGGAGTCATGCCAAAAGCAGGGGACACTCTAGTGACACAACAGGTTGGGTCTTAAGGGCATTCTGCTGGGTGGAAAAGCCACCCTCAAAAGGTCACATACTGTGTGATTCCACACTCTTATTCCACGTAGATGACATTTGGGTCACACTGTGTGATCCCGTGTAGGTGATGTTCTTAAAGTACAAACTGCAGGATGGAGAGCAGATGGCTCCTGCCATGGGTTAGGGATGGTAGGTGGGGAGAAGGGACTGCAAAGGGGCAGCAGGAGGGGATCTTCATGGTGGGGGATGTTCGTCCTCACTGCGGTGGCAGTCACATGAATCTGCACGTGACATAACATAGAACCAGCATCAATCTCCTGGTGTTGATCTTGCTCTCCAGCCACGTAAGACACAGCCTTTGGGGGAAACCAGCTGAAGGGCACATAGGACTGTGTTTGCAACTTCCTGGTTATGGAACTAGTTATAGAAATAATCTGTAACTGTTGGGCCGGCCCGGTGGCGCACTGCTATAGTGCGCCTCTTGGGAAGCGCGGCGGTGCTCCCGCGGAGGGTTCGGATCCCACATACAGACCGGTTCCCGCTCACTGGCTGAGCGAGGTGCGGGAGCAACACCGAGGGTTGCGATCCCGTAGCCGGTCACGAAAAAAGACAAAAAAAAATAAAATAAAATACAATAATCTGTAACTGTTGGGCCGGCCCGGTGGCGCACTGCTATAGTGCGCCTCTTGGGAAGCGCGGCGGTGCTCCCGCGGAGGGGTCGGATCCCACATACAGACCGGTTCCCGCTCACTGGCTGAGCGAGGTGCGGGAGCAACACCGAGGGTTGCGATCCCGTAGCCGGTCACGAAAAAAGACAAAAAAAAATAAAATAAAATAAAATAATCTGTAACTGTTTAGAAATAAAACACCTTCAGAAGCTTTGGCCAAGTCTGGGACAATTTAAGGTTGAAAAGAATGATTTATTGAAACCCAGGTATGTATACTTATTCTTAAAAATGGAGAAAGCCAAAAAATATATTCATCTGTCACCACGGAGGTGGCCCTCGTGTCAGCCCCTTTACCTACAAACTTAGTTATTATAAGTGACAGAATCAAGCATTTCTCCTCCTGCCATGGGAACTATATTTCAGGGCCATCATATGGCTCCAGTTAAAAGGCAAAAGTTGTCCTTTACCCAATGACGCCAGCTAACAAAAGTGAAAGAATTGACAGGATTAGGAAATCTCCATTCTGTGACCTGTAACGAAATCATTGACTCGGGCAGGGACTACATCAGCAGATGCTGAGACTCCTGTGTGAAAGTCAGTGGGAGCTAGATAATTTCATGATGCTGAAGTGCTACCTACACGGTGGCAAATCTACCCTTGTAGATTTGGGGGAGGGGAATACATGTCACTACGATGCCAGCCTCTGCTCAGCGCTCAGCCCCAGCATCACCGAGAAAGGGGTGAGCCTGCATGAAGGGCACAGCACCACCCACAAAGAGAAGGGTTTCCCCTGAAGTACACAGTATTGAATGGAGCCTTGAGGCCAGGGCTTCTCAACCTTGAACGTGCTCATAAACCACGCAGGTTGCTGGTTGACATGGGTTCTGATTCAGGTCTGAGTGGAGCCGAGTGAGTTCTGCAGGTCATGCAGTCCCGGCCGAGCCCCTCTCCAAGGAGAGGAGCGAGGCTGTCCAGCTCTGTCCCTGCCTGCAGGGAATACGTGGCGCAGGAAGGAGGCAGGTGATGCGGGAGCAGCCGCCAGACTCAGGCAGAAGGGGGCGTCCTACAGCACACAGCTGGTGGCCTAGGCCGGTCTGTCAAGGGGAAGGATGGTTAGAGGAGAAGGTTGTGGACAGGGAGATGCTCAGGGGACAAAGCCTCCAGGCCCGAGGGGTGGACCTTGACTGGTTTGAACAAACCCGCCGCAGAGATGTCCTGGGAAATTTGCAGATGGACAGGGTATCAGATTATACTAAAGAATGTTTTGTTAATTTTGTTGGTGTGGTAACAGAGGCTGTATCAACAAGTGCCCTTCACTAGGGACGAAGTGGCATGTGGCTGTACCTCAGTGTTCCCCAGCCCAGGAAGCGATGGGCACACTCAGCAACGGGAACCTGCTCCTCAGACATCTGCTCCCCTCTGCTGGACACTCCGCACAACCCCATGTTCTTTAAACCACCGGGCCGGCCCGTGGCTCACTCGGGAGAGTGTGGTGCTGATAACACCAAGGCCATGGGTTAAGATCCCCTTACCGGTCATCTTTTAAAAAAAAAAAAAAAGATAAACCACGCCGTGAGGAAATCCACTGGTCTTTGACTGCTGCGGCTGGAGTGAGCAGAGGCTGGCACATGGCCGCTGTGCCATCCGAGAAGCCTGGGAAGGAGTGAAAAAGATAAACCACGCCGTGAGGAAATCCACTGGTCTTTGACTGCTGCAGCTGGAGTGAGCAGAGGCTGGCACATGGCCGCTGTGCCATCCGAGAAGCCTGGGAAGGAGTGGCCTCAGCCCCTGCTCCCTGTGGCAGTGGCAGTGGGAAAAGGTGCCCAGACTGCAGGGCAGTGCCCAGTCCTAGAGGAGCCTGGAGGGGGTGGTTTGGGGGCCAGTCTGTGGCCTCTGGCTTCATGCCCCGTATTCAGAGTGATCCCGGCCCACTTCCTGCCTGGGATCTCCACCCTCGACCTCTGCTGAGTGTCCGTGACCAGCGCTGCCCCCCT